GAAGGAAGGAAGGAAGGAAGGAAGGAAGGAAGGAAGGAAGGAAGGATAGATAAAGTGATGGATGGACGGAGGAAGGATGGATGGATGGATGGATGGATGGATGGATGGATGGATGGATGGGAAGATGGACACAGGGATGGACAGACAGGGTCCTGTTGCACCCACACTCTGCAGGAGGCCATCCAGGTGTGCTCCCTCCCCGTTTCACCCGCTGGCTGATGTTGTCCCCAGTTCCAGCCCAGGGGATGGGACATGCCTGGGGCCCGTGGGAACGGGGGCACTGCCGTGGCAGGAGGACAAGCAGAGCCAAAGGCTGGCCGTGGGCCATCACCGCTGCCTCTGGGCGGTGATATCTCTGCCGAGCAGAGACAGCCCCACCGGCTGCCCCTCCTGCTCGGGGGATGCTCCATTAACACCTGGCGCCTGGGAATGGCGCCGGGCCGGGAAAGGGCGATAGGGGCTGTATCAGCCGGTGCAGGCTCGCCCCCTGCTCCGCCGGGCGGATGCCATTGGCACAAGGAGCAGGAGCCCGGCCCGCTCCGCTGGGCCCCTTCCAGCCGCGGGAGGAGCGGCGGAGAGGAGAGGAGAGGAGAGCCCGGCGGCTGTGCACGGGCAGGGAGGGAATCTAGGTCAGGGCTTGCTTTAAAAGGGGGCACAGAGCCCAGAACGCGGCGGCTTCCAGCGAAGCCACGGAGCAGCGGCGCCTGCCCGAGCCCGGCGCAGACACCGGGAATTGGCAGCTGAGGAATGCCGGTGCTCACCCGGAGCATCCTCATCCCTAGAGCTGCGCCGGCCGAGTTCGCCCACGGGTGCTGCTTCTCGTGTGCGTGGCCGTTCACGGCAATTCCTTGCTTTGCTGGGAAACAGTGGTTTGTAGTTCAGGGCTGGAAAACAACGTGGTGCCCGGGGACATGCGCTTTCCTGGGCACAGGGAGATGCCACTCACCTCCCAGATGAGACCATCAAATAGCCCCCTCCTTCCCCTCCGCCTCCACACGACTGGAAGGGCGTCAGCGAAGGGAACTCGCCCCAGGTCTGACATTTCTGCATTCGCCAGCAAACGGCCGAAAAAAAAAAGCCCCAACCGAGCAAAAATCCCGGTGGCAGAAAAAAGGGAACCAGGAAGATGTGGAGGGTGCAGAGCTGTGGCTGCCAGGGTGAACAAATGCCTCCACAGACATTTTGCCCCCCAAATAACTGCTCAGCCCTGGCAGAACTCCAGCAGATCCGAAAACACAAAAGGGATTTTATTTTTCCCCTCCCCAAATTTAGGATTGCTCTGCACTTCCCAACCCTTTCAAGGTCTTGGGGAATTATTAAGTTGGCACCATGATGCATTTAATTAAAAACCAGCACCTGAAGGTAGAGGGAAATCAGCTGCTAGAACAGAGGATTTTTGGAGGGCAATCCCGTGAGGCACTGATCCCTGGCTGTTCAGGGAGGCTGGACTTGGCAGTGGGCTTTGTGCCTGGCAGGGCTGGCAGAGGCCACGGCAGTCCCTGTGAGCTGCAGCCCTTCCAGCTCCTCCTGCTGCAGCCACCCCTCGGGGCCAGATTTTCAGGAACTCAGGCTCTGGTGAGCTTGGAAAAATCCAGATTTTTCTCATGGGCTCAGCATTCAGCCAGTCCCTGGGTTTCCACTGAGCTCAGCTTTGAAATGAGGTGTTCACCAAGGCTCCAAACTTCATAATAACCGCTCAAAAAATCCCCCAATAAAAAGTTAAGCTATTAAAGTTCTCCCTGTCCTTCCAAGGCCAAGCAGGCAGATGGGGGTCATGTGCTGTGCTCCAGGAATGGCATTTCCAGGAGCTCTTGTGGCCTCTGCGCGGGTGGCCAAGGTGCTGATGGAAAAGGCTCTGACAAATTCCATTTCCCCATCTATATTCACTTCCCTTTTCATGCCTCTTCCTGGGGAACCCGAAGAGGGGAAAAGGCTCTGAAAATGAAACGAGGCCCCAACCCTGTGGGATTTTCAGGGAACAGATTGCAAAATAGTTTGCAGCAGAGCAGCCCAGGGCTTCCCCGTGCCTTGATGCGGGTCTCTAACCCAGGTGGAATTGCAGGCTGTGTTGCCGGCGGGTTTGGGCTCCCACTCCACTCCCTCCAAAGGGATCAGAAGATTGTCACCAGAGCCGAGCTCTGCCCGTAGCAGGCACGGGCCAGACCTCCCCCTCCTGCCACTGTTTCCCCTTTGGTGTCACTGCAGCTGGCACCACGAGAGAACCCGGTTTTTGAGGCACATTTGGAGCGGGCAGTGGTCCGATCCCTGCAGCTGCACACAGGGAGCGGGCTGCGGGTCCCGGTGACCGGGCACCAAGGGCGGGCTGGGGGTGCCGGGGAGGCTCCGGGCGCCGCAGCCACCGCCGGACCTAACGGGAGCTCCAAACCCCGAAGGAGGGATGAGGGGACAGGCAGCGCGGCTCGTTACCGTGCTGAATGATCAGCGCTAATTAACGGGCCCGGTGGGAGGCTGGGGCGGGGAACGGAGCTCGGGGGTCGTACGAAGCGGCTGGACCGTGGCAGGCAGCGACGTCCCCGGTGCCCCGTGCCGGTGCCGCTCAGTGTGTCGGGCCGTGCCCGCTGTCCCGGTGTGTCGGGCCGCGCCCGGTGCTGCTCGGTGTGTCGGGCCGTGCCCTGTCCTGTGCCCCGTGCCGGTGCTGCCCGGTGTCTCGGGCCGTGCCCTGTCCTGTGTCCTGTGCCCCGTGCCGGTGCTGCTCGGTGTGTCGGGCCGTGCCAGGTGCCCCGTGCCGGTGCTGCCCCCTGCCCTCCGGCCGCGCTCACGGCACCGCCCGGCCCCGCCCGGCCGCGCTGACCGCTCCATGACGTCACCGCCGTGTCCGGTGCCGGGGGGGGTGTGACACACGTGTTACCGTCACCGTGGCGACGCGGCCGTGACGCGCTGTGCCCGCGACCCTCCCCGGAACGGGCGGGCGGCGCGCGCTGAGCGCGTCACCGGGGGCGGCGGCGGCGGCGGCGGCGGCTGGACGGGCCCGGGGCAGCGCCATGGAGAGCGCGAACCAGGGTACGGGCCGGGGGTGAGCGCCGGGCACGGGCTGCCTAGTGACCGGGGGTGCCGGGTATGGGGGGGAGCCCGGGCACGGCGGTGTGGGAACTGCCGCTGCCGTGATGGGGGACGCGGCCCCGGGGATGGGGAGCCGCCCCGGGATGGAGAGCGGCCCCGGGGGTCGCTCCTTGGCGCCGCTTCCCTCGCCGGGCCCCGTCCCCACCCACGCTGCCGGGCACAGGAGCTGTAAGGCCGCGGAATGCCCGGTGCTGCTGCCGTTTCCGATGGATGCTCGTGGAGGAAACTCCAGCGGAGGTTTCTGTTCCCCGCCGCGGCGCTGCCCCTTCCCGCAGCTCTGCCTCCCCCTCGCCCTGCTTTGCATAACGCGCCTCGCCTGCCGCTTGCTTATTCAGTGCCCTCTGCTCCTTGTCTGCGACAGATATCAACCTTAACTCTCCCAACAAAGGTCTGCTGGCGGATGCCATGACAGATGTTCCCGTGGATAACGCGGCCCGGGGCGCTGCCCCCGAGGGATTGACTCTGGCCGAGGAGGAGGAGCTGAGAGCCGAGCTCGCCAAGGTGAGGGGGCTCGGTCTGGCAGCGTGTGCCCCGCTTGTGTTCTGCTGGGAAGGAGCAAACAGGAGCTCCTGTTCTGTGGGTTTTTTGCTGTTGGGGGTTTGTTTTTTGGGTTTTTAATTTTGCAGTGTTACCTTTGGGTCTCTCAGCTAATTGTTAAAATGCACAAAGCTGGCAGATACTTCAAACGCTGCGGTGCGTTGTTTGCTCTTTCCCAGAACAGTCTAATTTAGGGCTATAAGGAAATAAGTGCCTTTTGATGCCATGAGCTCAGTGTAGGGTTTCAGATCCATGTGAAGAGAGAAAATACTTCAGGCAAATACTAAGCAAAAGAAAGCCATTTTTCCTTAGGAAGCTGAAACATTGGAGCACTTAATGAGCTTTTCTTCCTACCTTTTTCTCTTAAATATTTATCACACTTTACAGGCAACTATTTTTGGTGCCTATATGCTTTCAAAGAGCTGATGGTTTGTAATGTAACATCCTAAAGTTTGAGCACTTTTTGGGGTTTGAAGGTCAGGTTATCATTTCTGTCTGAACGTGGCTGAAGATGATTGCAGCTGTTTCTCCATTGTCCTTTCCTTCATATGAGAATCTTGTGGTGGTTCTTTGACTTGCAGGTTGTGGCAGGGGGGACTTTGCTGCTCTGGGTGGTCATGCAGGGCCTGCTGAGCAGCAGCTAAGGTAGAAATGAACCCATTCTGCCTGGAAACAGCTTCAGAGTACTTTGAAAGTGTTGCAAGAAAGAGCTCTGAGGAAAAACTCTTTACTTTAAGACATCAGAGGAAAAGAAACACAAGATAAAATCTTAGTTAATAAGGTTTGGCGACTGAATTGTGTCTACTGTTGAAATTACAATACAAGGAGGGGGTTCTGTTCGTCTCAGTGTCACTAAATCACCAGTCCAGTGACTTGTAGGGAGGTGAAGTCTGAGTGGCCTCCCATTCCAACACAGTTCATGTTGAGTTGAATAATTCATCTGATGTTTTTTACAATTTTTAAAATTAATGAAATGTTGCTAGTTTCGAGGGAGGTAAAAATTTGGTTTAATTTACAGTTTTTAACTAAACTGTGATTTGAGACAAACCTCTGCCTTTCTCTAAGGTTGAAGAAGAAATTGGTACTCTCAGACAAGTTCTGGCTGCCAAAGAGAGGCACTGTGGAGAGCTGAAGAGGAAGCTGGGTCTGACTCCCTTGGATGGGCTAAAGCAAAACCTGTCCAAAAGCTGGCACGATGTCCAAGTCTCCAATGCGTAAGTGTTGTTTGTGACACTCCTGTGTTTAACTGGGACTCTGTGTGACACTTCCCAGCAGGGTATTCCAGAGCTCTTTTGAGTGGCTGGAGGTTCTCTTCTGATGGGTTTTTGGAGTAAAGGAAAAAATCTAAAAAAATCTTTTTTGTGTCTGTGTAAACTGAGCTTTCATAGCTGTGATCAGGATGAATTGTTGCTGGCTGCTGTTGCCCATGTTGTTAGAGCTCTGGATCAAACTTACTGGTTCAGTTTGCCTATTTCTGCCTGTTCTTGGAGGCACAGGCAGCTGCTACCTTGTTCTGAACTCAGGCTCAAAGAGAAGTGCAAGCAGTTTTGCACTTTGTGCCAGTTCAGAAGCATTCTCTGGGTTGTATAGCCTGAATTAAAAGCCTGCAGCTCCTAGGAAAAAATCTGTGATATTAGTGTGCTTCACCAGAGTCATCTTGTCCTAAATATGTGAAGTGAGACTGTTCCTGAACAGGCATTAAGGGTATGGTCACTGCTGTGCTGTGCCCAAAGGAGGGTCCAAAAGGTAAGTTTGTCCCTGCACTGGGTGTTAGAGACTCTGGGTGCCTATGGATGCATCATTCAGGCTAAAAAGTTTCCTGTAACTTAACTGGGGTTTGGAGTTACTGACAGTGATACTGCAGAGCAGATCACTGAGCTGTTCATCTTGCTGTTTATTCTTTTCCTCATCTCCCCTCCTCTGTCCCTGCCCCATTTCTGTTATTCCTTTGTCACTGGAATCTGTGTCATTGTCTTCTAAAAATGAATATTAAAGTTATATTCATTAACACTTTCTGTTTCTAGTTATGTGAAAACATCTGAGAAACTTGGAGAGTGGAATGACAAAGTGACACAATCTGACTTGTGAGTGCCTCGGGCTCCTCAGCATCACCTCCTTGTTCCTCGCTGCATTCCCTGATTTGTGCTGCTCCTTGTTCTCCCAGGCATCAGGGCTTGCTTGGGAGCTGGAGGCAGTGTGAAGCAGGATTGTTACTTCCAGCATGCCTGGCTTCCACCTAGAAACATCCCTCAGTTGCAGAGGACCATCATCTCTGTCATGGTCTTGCTATTGCAGCAGAAAAATTCCAATCAGTTACCAGACCACATTTTGAATGAAAAAGAAAAAAAAAAAAGGAGGGGTCAAAAATTTAACCACAATTTCCCTTCAGCTGGTAATTGGTAGGTTAGTCTGTTTTTTCAGGTGTCTTATTAGTGAACCTCTGCCTTTACTGTGAAACTATTTCTCTTCTCATCATGAATGTGGTAGGAATTAGTTTGACTGTTGCCTTTCTGTATTGCCACCTGGGAGAGAAGTGGCTGGAAGTGCTTCCCCATAGCTGGAATTAGGGGCTGTGCAATTGCCAGTGTGTTCATGAGCTTCTGAATTTGCTACACTGGTGTGTGACCCTTTTCCCAGTGTCAGCACTAGAAATCTGTGAATTTTAATCTTTGCTGTGTATCCAAGCAGGTGACAAATGCAGACAAAGAGCATCTGGCTTTTGCTTCTGGAATATATTCTTTAATTATATTAGAGCTCCATTGATATTAGACACGAATCATTGATTCCTGCTGCGTAGCTGAACCCGAGGAGCCCCTGAGTGCTTTCTGTGCTGAAGTTTCCCTCCCTTTGTCTTGTGTTGAAGGAAATTATTTAGCTAAGAGGAGAATGTGGATTGGGAGCATCACATCATTAGGCAAGGTGGCACTGATCTAATTGGGGCGAGTGAATTCTGGGTGCCAAGTCCCCTCCTTTGAGCACCTCTGTGTTGTGTCTGAGATGGGAGCAGCCACCTTCTGTAGTGTGAGTGTTCTGTACCTTCAGTGTTAATTGTCACAACCCTTAAGGTACTGTTCTTGTATAGAGAAACATGATTTCTAAAGATCAGAAAAACAAAAGTTTAATTGTTTGTCTGGTTCCTGCTGTATTGGTAAAATACATCTTTGGGTGTGGCAGTTTGATTTTTTTGGCCTTAAGATCAGTTCACTGCTCTATGCTTTTAATACAGACCAGCAACAGAACATGTTGGAAGGGAGCAGAAGATGCAAAGTTTTTCATTTCCTGACACCTTTGAAACTGCAGGCTTTGTTTCTTTGTGCTGTGTTTGAACATGCTTAAACAAAAGAAACTGGAGCTTAGGTGTCTCTCTGCCTCTCAAACAGTTCTTTTCCTTCTGGTTGTACCAGAGAGGCTGAAGCTATTGTCAGAGAAATAAGGCCTCTGATACTGTAAGTGTAAAGAGTCATTAATAATGTGGGAAGTGTCAGAAGAAGCATCTGCAGTGAATCTTGGAGCTGTCTCTAACCTCAGTTGTGTTTGTAGATATCTTTCAGCCAGCAGCACACTGGAGGACTGGAATGAAAAATTAACTCAGTCAGAAGCGTGAGTGTCTTAACCTTCAGCCTTAACAAATGCTTTCCTCTGCCAGTCTGCTGCCACTAACTGTGCTGTGCCCCTGCTCTGCTTTCACTAGATTCACTATCCTACCTGGATATTTATCTTTCCTAGCTTTTACTTTTTTAACCCAATAAATGCCTCTGCTGTTTCCTCAGGTCAGTATCCAAGTGATACTCTATAAATGCCTGTCTGGTCTCAGCTATCCTGGCTGAAAGCCCTGGGTAGCTGAAACCTGTGTGCCACACCTTACACCTTCAGCTGAGAAGCTGGGCAATAGCCAGACTGATTTTCTTGTTACCCCAACAGGGAGCAGGAGCTTTGCTTTTCTGCTGTGGTACTTGATGAGAATAAAGCTGTAATGGCCAAGGCAGCTTCCTGTCATGTTGGGGCCACAAATAGACTCAGCTTAAACCTCACAGCTGTTCTACTCCAGTTGGTGAATGCAAATCTCTCTTAAATGTGCTTTTACTAAATGCCTGAAATGAAATTCTCATCTGGACTAAATTATGGGAGGATATTACGGAAGTTGGCCTTTGTCCTTCTCACTGTGCCTTTCTCACAGTATGTAGGGCAATCCCTTACAGTGCTGCAGTGGGAACAGGTAGGTTTTGTCATTATTTTCTGAGCTGACTTAAACTGGGGAGGTAGGTCTTAGATGTGAGCCAGCTTTTCCTGTTCTCTGGAGTGGGTATAAAAAGCAGTCCTTGGAGCTGGCTGGTTATCAGCAGAATGTGTGAATGCAGAGTTCTCTTCCTAACATGGGTGAAAGAGGAGCAGAGATAAAATGTAGGAGTAGCAGAAAAAACTTTGAAGTACGCAGGTCTGCTTTCAACTGTTTTCAAGATTAAGAAGCTGTAAACTGTCACCATTTCACTTGCCAAGTAGAATGACCTTGGTTTTTGTGCTTGCTGACAGTGGCTGACTCCGGTGGAGTTCCGAGTCCCTCCCTGGGTGTGCCTGCTAGAGTAGAAAACTTCTGGTTGTATCTGTTTCCTTGTACTTCATAAGCACCAGAAATGTGGCGGAAATGTGCTTTTGTGGAGCACTTTGGGTCTGAAGAGCTGTGGCACCTCAGCTTTCCTGCTTGCTTTGGCACTGCACAGAGTGACAATTGGTGCTGGCAAGAAACAGAGATGTGAGGGGATTGAAAGATTCCAGCAACATTTCAGAAATCAATCAGAATTTCTACTTCTCTGAAGTTCAGTGAGTGCAGAAAGGCAAGTTCAAGAAGTCCAAGGGTGAGGTTTTATTAATTTGTTTTGGGGTTTTTTATGCAAATGGATTGTGTTTCCTGTTTCAGTGCTGCTCTACTCTGTAACTAACAAGGCTCTTGAGGGAACTGGGAATGGACCTGACTCCTGACCCTATGGTGCTTTTATGTGCTGTGGAATTTCCTGGTGTTTGCCATTCCTGGCCACTGGCTTTCCCTCTGCAAGCAGTATATAAACAGGCAAAACCCACCCCAGTCTGTTCCTAGATCCAGTTTCACTGTAACCAGAATATGAGCTGACTTACATGGTTTGTGTCTTTAACCAGACAGCTCACATGGTGATTGCTGGATAAAAGCAAGGGAGAGGAAGCTGGTGTTAATGGATAAAAGAGGATTTGAGGGTACAGATTTCACTCCTTCCTGTCAGGGTTTATAGGAGAGGGGTGCAGTGAAATACTGGAATACCACAGGATGAACAGCACAGGGCAGAGATCATCTCTGTGTCTTCTGCTGCAGCCAATTGCCTGTGAGTAAAGCAGGGTATTAGCCAGAGCTTATATTTATTACTCCCAGATTTGGATTATTCCATTGTGCTTTGTGCTGGGGCTAAGGAAAGAGAGTGTTTGTGAATTTACACCCGTGGAAAACCAGGCTGTGGCACTTGCAGGAGAAGAGTTGCAACTTCTAGGTCAGGGCTGGGTGTAGTTAAGTTGCATTAAAGCCTTGTATAAGCTGATCCCTGGCTGTCACAGCTGCAGCTGCACATGTGTGCGTGGTGGCAGTTCTGGGTTACAGAGCTGCTCGTCTCCCTGTGCTTCTTGCTCTGCCTCCTGCCTGGCAGCAGTGAGATGTGTACGTGTGTGTGGGAGCTGTGGATGCAGGACTAGGCTGGCCATCTGATCCAGCTGCTGCTTTTTTGTGCTTCCAAGTTTATATTTAATCCAGATCTTTGCCTTGATCTGAATTGCTGTGCCAGCACAAGCAGTTGTGCTGGAGGAAGGAGCACACTCAGGCAGAAGCAGCAGCATCCAAGTGTTTGTTCTCCAGTTATATTAAAAATTCTGCTGTCAGGTGTGGAAAACATGCTTGGAAAATTTCTGCCCTTCATCTGAAGGCTGGGCATGATACCTGGAACTTTGCAGTGTGAATGGCATGATGGTGTCCTTTGAGGCTGTAAGCCATTCCTCAGTGCTGAGCTCTGAGTGCCAAGCAGACGTGGAGTCAGCACTACTGACTTTGGTGAGCACGAGGGCTTCGATATTTGTTAGGCAGCTGTAAATCAAATCCCATGACAGGGCTCAGCCAGGGAGGAGCCTGGCTGCTGAAGGCAGGGATTGAGATCCTCCTCAAGCACAGTGGTTGCAATAGGAAGGCAATCCCTGTATGAGATCAAGCAGCCTTGGTGCTGATCAACTCACTCCTGAATTGTGCTGAGGTGCAGAAAATTGTGCTGTGCAGAGGAAATGTGAAGGCATTGCTGTTTGGGCACGCTCAGGTTCTTCTGGAGCTGTTGACTTCAAGAAGAATTGATCTGAAAAATATGTAGGTTATAGGAATTCTCTCTGAGAAGCAGGAAAAAGGAAGGAAAAGCTGATGCAGTTTTGCCCTGTTCTGCCTAAGTTTCGTGTATATTCATGATTCAGAAATACTTGGCTGTGGTATTAAAAAAAAAAAAAAAAAACCAAACCAGCAAACCAACATGTTATAATTGGAATTGCTCAAATCCAATTCTGGTGCTGTGGTGCTGTCCATGCACTTCTGCCTAGAGAGAAGGAGATGTCAGTAAGTCACCTATCACTATGGTATTTGTAGTCAGGGGAGCTCAGGCATGACAGAACATTAGGCTGTTTATAATGTCCTTCTCCTAAATGTCCTCACCAGGCAAAAAAATAATCTCAAGCTGAAATATTTGGAATGAGAAAAATTTAAAATGTTGAACTGTTTTCTAGCCTGAGTCTTTTCTTTGTAGTCTAAAGAATGACATAAATCTAGATGTTAATCATCAACTGTAGAATAGTTTAGAGAGAATGAATTAATGAAAGTGACACAAAGAATCTTTGTTCCTGAGATTAGTCTCATGTGAAGGAAACAAAGGTTCTCGAGTGTCTCCAGCTCAGGTATAAACTCAAATAATCAGCTGACAAATAAAAGCTGTCAGACTTCTTACCTATTGTGGTTAATGGTAACTGATAGGAAACTTCTCTACCAATTTATTTCTAAACTGCTGCTGTAGAGCTAATGCTGATTCCTACATTTCTTTTCTCTATGGTGATGATGGTCTTGCTTCTTGCCTCTTTCCTCCAAAACATAACCCCACAACAAATGCTATGCCTTCCTCAAGGATGAAAGGTTAGTATGGAATAGGTTCCTAGATTTATTTTCTCCAGGACACGAAAAGATGTTGCAGAGCAATTAGGCTACAGTGCTGTGGTGTTAGAACTTCCATGTGGAAAATTGGTTTTACTTTGGTTTTAGCAGATGTTTGTTATATTTAAGAACATATGGTCAAAAGTATAAGGTGAGCATATAGAAAGGTTAATCCTCCACTCGCTGCTTTTGTAAAACTTCAAGTATTTGAATATATGCAAATCTGGAAGTGGCTCTTTCAGTGAAGTCAGTGCAGCTCACTAACCCTGCTTCTTTCCTTTAATCTGGGGTCTTTTTTCGAAATCGGGGGGACACTTTTGGATCCAACCTGTTAGTTCAATTTATGATTTTTTTTTCCCATGTAGTTACAAGAAGACCCAGGAAACCCTTTCCCAGGCGGGACAGAAGACTTCAGCAGCCCTTTCCAATGTAGGTTCTGTTATCAGCAGGAAGCTTGGTGACATGAGGTAAGATTTCTGCTTTGCACTCCGGTCCTTTGATCTTGGTTTCAGACAGGAATTGGACTTCAGACAATAACTAGACTTTTTTCCATTTTTCTGCTTAGTTGGCAGCATGTTGCTGTTGATGGACTGCCACCTTCTGTGTGGCCCTGTGCATTGTAGTTTAGGACAGACTGAACAGTTATTGAAGACTTACTGAAGGGATAAACCTGTTCTAAGGCATTTTAAGTTTGGTTTGGTTTAGGAGAACTGAAAAAACATTTTTAGCATCCTTCCCCCTTTTACTGTCATGTGGATTCACTGCAGCTTTTATATCATATGTAAGAAATTAGAATAAAAATTTCCCTTTTACATTTCTTACTGGATGTAAGGGAGGTGTGTTTATTCAGTGTAACTGCTTTGGATTAGAGAGGGGTCATCCCTCCTGTGCTCTGTTATGATAAAAAGCAAAAAGGGAAAGTCTGTTTGCTGCATTCCATGTGGTTTCAAGCCTCGGGTGTTGACATTCCGTGGAGAAGGGCAGCATGTCTTCCAGGCACAGTTATATCATGTTGGTTGGAAAATATCAGTTGATTCAGAAGATTATGACAACATTAAAAACTTGTTGTGTGGTTGGAGTTTTATTTCCATTCCTTAAGTAGATGACCACTGAAATAATTGCAAATTTTAAACTCCTCTCTAAACTGGCAAGAGGAACAGGTTCTCCTGACTGAGCTTCTTGCTCTGCGAGTTCCTCAGCTGTACAAAGCCCAAGGTTAGAATTGGTGATTTACCTGCTCCTCAAAACTTTAAGCGAAAGATTTCTTCCCCAATAATGGTAGCATCTGCATATTTCATGCAGCATCCCGACCATGTTTTTCTTGGATTTGAGAGCTAATTCTGGATATACAGCCTGTCTAGGTTACTAAGGAAGGGTTTTTAGAGCTTATATTTAACATGCTGTCTCAAACCTTGGATTGAATGGGTAGCTGTCATTCTTTGTAGGGAATTTCCTATTCCACTGTGGCTGGGAGTATCTGAGTGGTAAGAACTCGTTGGCCTCTGATCACATAGTGCTGATTTATTCTGGTTCTGTCCTCAGTGAGTTAGTTACTGTGTTCCTGGAGGGTATTTTCTGATGTTTTCAGTAGCTCACATCTCTGAATTTGGCAGAGGACTAGCTGGCTTCCTACCTTTTCCAGCATTCAAGTTGTAACTTTTCTTCCCTGGAAACTCCCTAGTCTGCTGGAAAAAGACTTTCATGTAATCACAGCAGATTACAGATACTGGCACAAGATATGGTGGGAACACACTTTACCAAACTGATACGTGAATTTGGGGCCTGGTTTCTGCTGTCTGGCCAGGCTATTGCAGCAAAGGAATGGGAGCTGTGCATTTTTTCGGATGGGGAACTCCTGAACCAGGGTTGCCACAGGCAGAAGCTGTTTTGACAGGCTTGGTCCTGCCTGTTGTTTTTGAGTTGGGAGAATGCAGATCATGCAGCTGCTGAGATGTTTATTCCATCCCAGGAGCAGGTGATGGACGGAGGGGATATTGGGGTGCTTTCCTTGTGGCAGAGCTGGATGTGAAAAACTGGCCATGTAATCAGCTGGCCCAGGCATGAGCCAGACCTTTGCAGCAATGGTTTTTCCCAGCTTCAACATCTGCATTCCTTTTTATAGCTAATACCTTGGGTGAGGTGTTATGAAATAGAGGCAGCTTCTGCCTTATCACTTGGCAATCCCTGCCAAAGTTATTTCAGCTGGATTTGTATATATGGCCCTGTGGGGGAACACAGTAATGATATTTTTTTACGACTTTCAGTTTTTCTCTGCATATATAAACAGACTTCTATCTCCTGTGCTGCATCCAAGTCTTCCTGTTTCTGATACTGAAGAAGGTTTAACTCTGAGCATAAGGTTTTGCAGGAACTGTCCCCTTTTCATCCTTGCCAGATGAACTCTGGTGTTCTGATATGTGATCAGAGCTGACGAGGAGTGAAGTCTGTTGTATTGCTGTGATCACTGCTCTGAACGAGTGGGATGATCTCTGTTCCCAAAGAATCTCTCTTACAGGCCTTGTAGCCTACACTGACCTCCATTATTGTACTCTGTTTTTTTTCCTTCTTACACTACAAATTCACTTCTAAAGCAAGTTTATTTTCCAGCACTGGAAGTGTTGAGATAACAGAGGGGATTTCCTTGTTTAGTCAGCCTTCACCGGTTGATAAATGCAAGGAAGGCCTGATGAATGGGACAGAGCCTCCAACACACCATGGGTGTGGGCCTAATTCCATTAAAAATGCTTGGATCAAATTGTTTTTAAATACAAGTAACATGTTAAATCTTTAGACTTGCTGTATTCTGGTCAAAATAATTTTGCTGTGTGGATTGTAACCTTGGGAAATTAATGCTGTAACCATGTGCTCTCTGCATTAATGCTCTACTAGATTGCTCTGAGGAGAGGAAATGTATCTTAGTGGGTGGGATTTTTTCAAATCTTGGCCTGTTCAGATGTCTCTGTTATCTCCACCTACAGTTAAAAAATTAATTGTCTTTTAGACATTCTGTTCTGCATTTTACTGATTCCAGTAAACTGCAAAATTGGAAGTGTTTTCTTTTTGTTGCTTTGTGGGTTTGTGTCCACCTGTGCACTTCATGGTGTCTGATGAAGTTTGCTGCTGTACATAATGCTATGAGCAAATTCATTATGAAATGTTAGCCTGAACCCAAAGTGCCTGCAGATTCTGGAATTTATGTAAACTTTCAATCCTTATGGAAGGAGGAAAAGGGTTACTGCTAGGTCCAGGCCAAGATACTGAACAAGGAACCAGTGCTTGTGGTATTCTGTATGGAGCAGCATGGTGCACGGATGTGTTATCTGTGTTGTTCTCCTTTAAGCAAGAGTAAGTAGAAAGTTAATTTATTTCATATGCAAAGGCAGCATTTTAAGGCATCTGCCCTGCTAAAGAGCTGACTTGGATATATGGGGAAATGAAACCACAGAGCCCAACATCTTTGCTCTGGTGTCAGGAAAAGCCCTTGTACTCGTTGCCAAGTACTTCACATCCAGCTTGCCGTGACTGCTTCCTACTGCAGAGACAAAAATTATATTTAAGTGGAATAAAACACTGCTATGCAAGGAGAAGCTTCTTTAGAGCATCCTGGTAATCTTCCTAATAGAAGTGGGAAATTCAGTCTGTTGTTTCAGATTGCTGAGTTGCTACTGCATTGCAAAATCTCATCCTAAAAATGGGCAACCAAGTTACAGGGTAAACATGATACCTTTAATTTTATATTCTTTAACCTGCAGTGCATTTGTTCTCTGAACTGTAACTTTGAGATTTGCAGGCTTGGCAAGATAATGTGCAGGTATCCATTGCAGGTTGCCCTTACTCAAGTCCTCACCAGAAGTCTGAGCAATGCTGTCTTTGTATGAGAGACAACAGGGGGAGATGGGGGAAGGAGGTATCTCTACCAATACACCTTGGTAAAACCTTCCGTTTAGAAAAAATGCTTTAAAAAAACCATGTGAAAGCAATGGATGGGGGTAGGTAAAATGTTTTGGTTTGCTGTTGCACATTTACTCCTTCCCCTCCCCACTGAGTTCTAAGTTGATGTAGATGCTGTTATTGCTCTTTGACAAACATCTTAGCTTGTCTGGAGTTAATGAAAAGCATTTTTTTTGCTTGCTCCTGTGACTTATTTTGAGAGGCTTCCTCCTGGGTATTTGACTTTGCTGTCCCATGATTCTGTGACCGCGTCCCTGTGTTTGGCTCTGCACAAGTTTCTGACCATTCCTTCCTTTTTCTCTCTGCTGCCCGTGGCCTCTCTCAGGGCTCACTCCATCTCACATTCCCTTAGGTAAGATACTCTTCAAGGCTCTAAAAGAGCATTTGTTTCTGTGCCAGGCCCTTGCAGACCTTAAAGGGGAAGCTGGTTATTTAAGCCTTGCCTAAACTTTTGACACAGATTGAGAAATCTACCACAAGCCAATGCCCTGGGATTGACTTTTGTATCACAGTTGCAGTTAAATATTGGCTATCCTGTGTCCAGAAAACTAAATTTGGGGTTGCACCTGTTAAGTAAGGGGAGAGAGGGCTGGCTCCTACCACTTGGGTTGTCCACAGCAGCCCGTGTGTGGACAGTGAGTGCTTCAGACCCGGGGTTAGGTTGCTTTTGCACGGTGTTAAATTGTCATTAACTTTTTCCTCCTTGTCCCAAATGCTTCCGAGCAGCGGCTACTCCATCCGCCACTCGATAAGTATGCCAGCCATGAGGTAACGTAGCCCATGCCTGTGTCTCCTGAGCGGGGCTGGGGGGAGGACAGCTGCCTCCATCGCTGCTGGGGGGTTTGTTCTGACTTGGACAACCAGCTCCCTTCTCGAGCTGGCCCCTCTCCGAGCATGGATTAACCACAGCCTGCAGTTTGACTATTTAAAGGGTTTTTTTAATATCTCTTAAGGTTATTAGCACTAGTCTTGTCTTGGACTATGTGCAGTGTTGCACCTGTACCAAAGCCTGGCTGAAGCTTGCAGCTTTCAGAGGTCCCTGAAGGGCAGGAGTACAGTTCTGTCACAATGTATGGCACAGCCATTGCTGACACTGAGGTGAATCCTAACAGGAACCCTCTCCTCAGCCTTCCCTCACTGTGCCTTAGGTGGTGATCTCCTTGCAGGAGAAACGACTGCCAGGTTGGACAAGGCCCACAGAAATCTCTCTGTTCACCCTCTTTCCAGATCAACAGAGGTGGTTTTATGGCTGCAAATCTAAAGCGATTCCTTGGAACAAAAATAACTGAGATGAGGCGAGTCATCTCGCAGTGCTCCTGCAGCCTGGCCCGGGGGAGCAGCTCTATGAGTAATTGCCTGGTCTGGAAGCTGAGTACAGAGCACTCTCTGAAATCCTTTGCCAGTGAAGCAGCTTGTTGGGCTGTCAAACAACTGACCTGGTTTTCTTTGCTAGAAATATGAAATGCTCTGATTAATTTATTACACTGTGATTTTCATGAGCATTTCCTGATGGAAATGATCACCCCTGTAGAAATAAAACTGCTGATAGTTGCAGGTACATGGCCCTTCCCCTTCCTCCTCATGGGATGTGATACAGGAAACGGAAGTCTTTGTTTTAAACCTTTCTCAGCTTTCCCTTTCCACTATGTAAAACAAAATTGTTTTAGCTGGAAGCTTTTTAAACCTAAGAGCTGATTTCTTCTCTACTTACCATGCCTTGATTCCCCAGTGAACTAGGACTTGTTTTCCTCAACAATTTAGCTTGAGCAGCTGAGCGGACTGCACGTGGTATGTTTTCCTTCAGAGTTTGGATGTGGTGTCCTTGCCTGGTGTGCCTGAGAGATTTATGCTAAAGGCTGTGAGGAGCTGGAAGTGTTCTGGGTGATGGTGTGATTGCAGGGGAATGGCCACAGAGCCCAGTCACACTGTGCCATTTGATATGGTTAAGAACTAACTTGTCTTGATTTGTTGTTTTTTTTCTCCCCTCTTCTTTCTTCAAGGAATTCTGCAACCTTCAAGTCCTTTGAAGATAGAGTTGGGACCATAAAGGTAACAGTCTGCTTTGTCTTGTAAACACAGAGTGTGAAGCCTCGTGCAGAAACTTTAATTTCTGCAATGTTTTTCTTGTAGACTAGTATTCGGGCAAATGGCCTCTCAGATATGTGAAGTCTTGGCTACAGTAGGTGACCTCGACAAGGGGGAATTGACTTGGTATTTCCAGTGCTGCTTTCTTGTTGTCCTCACTCTCTTCTCTCTTTCCAGTCCCGAGTGGTGGGCAGCAGAGAAAACAGCACTGACGGCCTCCACTCTCCCTCTGGAGCTGGGGACAAGCCTCCACAAGACAACGCTCCCTTCTAGACCTGGATGTGGCTTTGCACAGCTGTGCACAACTGGAAGAGCCCCCTCCCTCCCAAACCTTCACCACGGCAACAACATGCGAATCCAAGAAGGGGCTGAGAGCCAGTCTGGAGACATCCATCCTTCATTCATAGACACTGCTGCTGGATCCAAGTCAAATAAAGAGAATGCAAAGTTTTGTACACAAATAATATTTTACACTAAAGTTTGTAGATTAAATGTATCACTGCTGTCCTTTTGGGAGAGCGTGTAAGCTGGAGTTTCCTTAAAGTAGCTCAGAAATGCCACTGCTGTGTATGAAAACAGTTTCCCCTTGTCTGACATAGCTTGGAGCAGATACCTGGCCCTGAGCAGCATGAAGAGGGCAGTAACTGGAGAAGCCAAGTGCATGGGCACCTTAGCTTCAGCTTCTAGTTCTGTTCTCTATGTGGGCTGCTCTGGGAGCTCCCAGGCTTCTCCTGTTACTGTTTTCTCTGGCTCTCATTGGAGCTGTCAGGTAAATGGGGTAAATGGTTGGGGTTATTTCTGGGCTTCTAAAAGGTAAACTTCACTTAGCAGCTGCCTCGTTGTTACACTAATGCTCTAGCTTTAACAAAACTGAGAGTCTTTATTTTTAAATGCAATGAACTTTAAAGAAATAAAGCTTAAAAACAAACAAAAAAAAAAGCTTTGGCATATTAGGGCGATGCTCCCTTGGACTCTGAAGCTGAATTGCAAGCCTTACATCACTTATGCTTTACTTGTTTATGATTTATTTTCTGTAGAGGAGACTGCAAGTGTTCTAAAGCTGGTTGTTGAGCACTGGAGTTTTGCATCATGCAGTCATAGCAGCATGTTTATAAAGCCAGTTCTTGTGTTAAATTCAGTGGTGCACTCTGTTTCCCGAGTGTATGAAACTTGCTTCTCCCTTCTCAGCTTATCCCTTCGTTCTTGGAGGAGGAATTTCTGAAGGCTGGAATATGGATACCATTGGAGGGACTCTGCTCTGCTCTCAGAGGGCTCCTCCAGCTGGTACATCTGGCTGTGACTGGATGGGTTTCTCAGTTGAAAGCCCCAGCTCTAATTTTGGTTTACAAAACTGGCAGAGAGTCATGGAGCTCACCCAGTCCCTCCAGGGGCTGGATGTTTTGCTCTTTTGATGTCCAGCTTCATTGCTCAGGAGCTGACAAATTCCAAGTTTTCTCCTAGAGGTCTGATCTTATTCTAGGCAAGGTGCCTCCACATAGAAATACCTAGAGTGAGCAATTCTGTGCCTTAGAGGCGAAGTGGGACTTACTCAGGTCTTTAAACTTATGTACATATCTGGGTAGTTTTAGTGGTTTATCACCCCAGAGGGACTGAACTGCCTCTGACCCTTTAGAGAAGCAAGTTTTGACACTGATTTGATTAATCTCCATTTCCCCCACCCCTGCTCCCCTCCCTCTGCAGACCTGGGGACGTGGGATGAGACATTAGTGGGCAGATGTACTAGGCCATAGGTGGAGTGTAGAGTGTCGTTCACGGGCACTCCTCCTTTGACTGGAACTGGCCTCCCTGTGAGGAACAGAGCCAGTGAAATGGGGACTGCAGGAGCTTGGGTATGGAACTGTTTCTCTTTAAAATAAAGACTGAGGAAACTTGTCAATAAAGAATTCCTTTGGGAGAAAATGGGGTGAATGTCTGTTTTGTTCTACCAGCACTGAAATCCTCTCTGGAGTGCATGTTATGAACTCATCAGGTAAATACCAACGGCCTGCAGCAGCCTGAGGCGAGAAGCAAGTGAAATATTCCATCCTATCCCTCTGGCTTGTCTGCTGGCTCTGCGGATGCTCTCTCATGAAGGAATGTACTAAATAATATTTACAGTCTGATGTTTCCTTTCCAAGATACTGGACACTGTTCCCAGGCTGTGCTCTGGACTGAGGAGCTGCAAACTCCACCACTGGTGCTGCAGGTGAATTCCAAACTTCACACCGTTCTCCTGATCTGGGAGTGTGGGACTGCAGTCCCAGCAGTAACCTTGGCACTGGGAGCTAAGGCTGGAGAAATTTCTAATGTGGAAAAGCTGCAGCTGTGGTTCTGGTGTGGCTTGACAGTGTGATACCTCAGGGAATCAGTTTCCTCCATGGAAGCTCTGGCAGTCAATCAGCACAGCATGGGAAGAGTTATGGATGGATGGCTGGAGCTGGAAGCTGCTGTCTCCAAGTTTAAAAGAGCAGTGCACAGCAGGCAAATAGGTTGTGGAGAGGCCAGCAAAGATCCTCAGTGGGCTGTTTTCAGAGGAAGGACGCCCAGCTAGGCTTGAGGCATCTGCTTGGTTTTGGTTTTGTGGGGTTTGGGTGTTTATATTGAAGGTTGGGAGTGTTTTTCCTACATCTCTTCATTAGATAAAACTACATCTCTCCAAGTGGGGCTAAGGACGGAGGAGTTGGTATGGGACCTGATCCTGGAGGAGAGATGCTGCTGGGAGCACCCAGGCTAAGGTGAGGGGAGGGCAGATGGCTCCATCTCACAAAGCAGATAAACAGCAGACTCAAAAAGTAACTAACTGAAAAAAGCATGAAGAAGCCACTTTTCCCTGCTGGCACCATGTCCCAACCCTCAGCCAAAACCACCGCAAGCGTTTCTTACGGAATTTGACGTTTATGGTCTGAGAGGGGTTGCACAATCACTCCAGCAGTGGGAGTCTGTACTCATCCTGGCCAAGTGGGCAGTGTCCAGAGCCAAGTACTGGCCGCAGGCTGCCAGCCTGGGCCCAATTGCTGCTCCCATGGAAGTGCTGGGGTGGGCTCAGCATCTCTTCTTGGGTGCAGACTCTGTGCAAGATCCAAGATCAGTGCTGGGGAGCCCCACAAGTAGGTGGTGTTTTGGATGGGGAAAGGTGCAAGAGCTGAGCTGGGGATGGAGCTGGAGCAAGGAGAGGGTGTGGGTGTGTGAGTCATGGTGATGACTCTGTTGGCAAATAGGATCCATCATCATTCATCTCTTTAAAACGTGAGTCAGAGGCAGCAGACGGGAAAGGCCATTTAGCCTCACGGAGAAACCACACGGCAGCAGGGCCATGCTGGAGTGATGGGAGGGATAACTGGAGCCAGTGTTCCTGAGAATTCCAGGGTCACCTGCTCCAGGATGCACTGGATGGGTGGAAGCTGTGCTTTTACTCAACACTGGGAAATAGCCATGTTTCCCAGGGAACAGCCAGGAGTGCCAGGAAGCTTGAGCTACTGGGAAAAACAGATTCATGAGCTTAAAAACCTCATTTGCCCCAATTGTGAGCACTCGTTTTCATTAAAGGGAACAGGTTCTGCACTGAGCTCCTGAGGACCCCAAGGGCCGGTGTGGGTGTGGAGGGGCAGGATGGGATTCTTGGAACGGGCGGGGGTGCAGGCGCTGCCCAAAGCACACTCAGAACTGGGGTCGGTGTGCGGGCGGAGTGCCCGGACAGCGCCCCAAAGGCAGTGAACCGTCCGGCCTGCAGCACACGGGTGATGTCCTGGGGGTGCTCCGTGTGCTGCTGCAGCCCAAGGCTCCCGCTCCTCCATCGTCCCGGCCTGACTGCAGCCCCTGTACTCTGCCCCAGACCCGCAGATCCCGGTGTCACAGCCCCGGCCCCAGTGCTCCGTGTGCCAGGTCACCAGCTCCTGTGGGGAGCTGCGGCCCCAGGCCTCGCTGATCCTTGTGCCGCAGCCGCCAATCCCACTGCAGCTCCCGGTCCCTGTACCACACTCACCGGCTCCTGTGACGGATGGCAGCCCCCGCCCCCTGTACCGCAATCCCCGGTCCCACCTCAGCTCCAGCCCCAGTATCACTGTCCTTGGCTGGCCACGGAGGCAGCGCCTCAAATACGGCGAGCGAGGCATCCTCGTATCGCTCCCTGGTGGTCTAGTGGTTAGGATTCGGCGCTCTCACCGCCGCGGCCCGGGTTCGATTCCCGGTCAGGGAAGTTCCACTTTTGCCGCGCTCTCTCCCGCTTTTCCCCCTTCCTTCCCCCGCCTCTTCCCTTCCCACCGGGATCCCCCCCGCGCGCTCCCGGCGCTGCGGCCGCGTGCCCGCGCGCGCTCCGCGGGGGCGCTGCGTGTCGGGGACGCGCATGCGCAGTGCACCGGCGCCGCCTCCTCCCGTGGCCGGGTCCCGGTCGGTGTCTGGCAGCGGCGGCGGCACCGGCGCTGAGGGCGGAGCGCGCGTGCCGCCGCGACCGGGCCCCGCGCGAGGCCCCGAGGAGCCGCCCCCGCCCCGCGGGGCCGCCCCCGCCCGCCCGGGGCTGTGCGGCCCCCGCCAGCGGGCCGCAGGTGAGCGCGGCGGGGCCGGGCCGCGGGCGGAGGCCAAGATGGAGCTGGTGGCGGTGGCGGGGGGGGGCGCGGCGAGGCGAGGCGGGAGGACCAGGGGAGGGTGGGATGTGCCCGCCGGTATCTGCCTGCCCGCCGGTATCTGCCTGCCCTCCGGCAGCTCCCTGCCCGAGGGCATCGCCTGCCGAGCATCCCCGCCCCGGGAGCCCCCGGCCCTGCTCCCCGGTGGCGGTGCGGGGCCCGCGCCCCCCCAGACTCCTTGGAGCAGGGGGGAAAAACCCCGAACAAAAGGCCTGGGAAGGTGAATTCCAAATGAAAGTCATCTGTGTGAGTGGGAGCCGTGAATCACTCTGGCTCGCTCTAGAAGCCGCGGTGATTTTCCTTTCCCTTTCCTTACATTATCCTGCTTAATTTTTATCGAAATAATTAGTAGCCGCTCGGCTGATGAGGTGCTTAATGAATGACGTACCAGCAGTGGGAAGCAAATCCAGCCTTTATAACGTGAAACTTGCAAAGGCAGCATATTTCTGTTTATTCGTGCAGTGTCTTCTGGCTCTCAAATTAAGAATTCCGGTCAGGTAATTCTGGAGATACGGAATGCAACTGGACCGAACGGAGACAGCGGATTCCCTGATAGCGCCTCGCTCCTGCTTTTGTGCTGTATCAATACCTGACTGTTCCACACCAGTGATACAAAGCCTTGAGTTTATCAGTCGGCACTGATGAAAGCGGTGCTCCACAGGGAGCAAGGTGACGGCCATCCTGTCTGACATAAGAGGGAAAGCCAAGGGTTTTATCTTTTCTAGGCTTGTTTTTGTTGAGGTGTTAATTTTTGTGCACTGTGAGACACTGCTGTTGAGCTGTCTGTGCTGCGGTAAGGCTGAAAAAAAAAAAAAAAGGGTGTAAATTTGGTACATCATCTCAGACCGGTGTGAAATAATCTAATTCTCTCTGCTTATCTTTACCTCTTGCCAGCTTATCATCAGGAAAGGGAAATGCGGTGTGAGTGCTTAAATACTGTGTTAGTTTGCTGCTTTTGAAGCAAAAACTTGCAGGCCGCAGTCACCCAGTGGCTGAGCAGTGGTGGTTCACCCATTTCTCTGGGTAAATTAAGCTCTCCAAAGTATGCAGAGCTGCAAGGATTTCCTTTGGAAATGCGTCAGGATTGGACCTATTTAAATTCTTGAATTTTAGCAGCCTCCTTGAAGTGGAATTTATTCTTTTGACTGCAGTTTCATTAGAGGCATTTTCAGCTTCTCAGGCATCTGTTGGTTTCAGGTTGCTTAGGATCAGTGTTTGCATTTTTGGGGTTCTTTTTGATAGAATATGATAGGATTTTAATCTGACTAAGGCATCCTGAGAAATAGATGCCAAATTCATTTGCTTTAATGAATTAGCTCTAATAAATCAAGTATGCTATGCCCTGGGAGGGAGAAAAGAAGGGAAACAGAAGCTGGAAGAGAAATTGTCATTAATATATAGAATGTAAGATGAAAAGAAGTTTATTTTTATTGAGCAGCTTCCTGTGGTTTTCTTGCCATGCTCTAAGGGCTTTGGAGAAATTCGTCATGTTGCTGGCAGTGCAGAATCTGCTTTGTGGAGAACTCGGGCTTTGGAGATGGGATTTTCAGCCAAACAGCTTTTTGTAAGCATAAATAAATACTTCTCACTCTCCCTCATTTATTTCATCTTCAGGATTGTCTGCAGCGTTTAAATGAAAGGGGAGATGCTGCAACATGGTCATGTTCCTCCTAAATTTTGGATGTGTTGCATTGATAAATGGCAGGCTGGAGGCTCAAGTGGAAGATTCCCCTCCCCAGGGTGGCTGTGTGCTATATTTAACCATCTTTTATCAGTGTGTGCCTGAAAAAAGTAATGTTTTGTAGCACATTTTGTCTCCTAGTGTAGACCATAACCCATGTTGATTATTCCCAGCAAGTACAAACACTGTTTCTGTCTTTCCCAGCTCCCAGGGATCCATCTCTGCTCTGTTGGTAGCCTGTCTCAGTTTGCAGTGGGTTGTAGGCAGTTGATTTGGTTTATGGCTGAGGTGGCACCATCACCGACCTGGCTGCACCAGGGAAGTTGCCCAGGATGTTTGGTGCCTGCCAGAGGTTTGTTCTGCAGCAGATGATGGGAACAGGGTCTGGAATGCAGCTGTGGCGTGGACAAACTTCTCATTACACTCACCAAGCTGTGTGAAGGCATCCATGGAATCAGTGAGGGAGTTTGGATCCTCATACTTTGGAAAACATGGAACAGTAGCAGAGTATGACTTAAGAACTTTCATGCTGGAGGGAGTCCAGAGGAGGGCATGAAGATGAGGAGCAGCTCTGCTGTGGAGACAGGCTGAGAGAGTTGGGGTTGTACAGCCTAGAGAAG